ATCAGTACATCATCTGTACAACTTATATTTGTACGGTCTACCAAAGGAATCACTCAGGAAACTATAGCGCGTTCAAAATGCAGCAGCCAGGATTGTTACTCATACGCGTAAATGTGATCATATAACATCAGTACTTTGTAAACTCCACTGGTTGCCTATTGAAGAGTGCATTGTTTTAGGATTCTTTTATTGACTTTTAAATGTTTGAACCGCTTAGCGTCAACATTCCTCTGCGATCTTATAACAAAATATGTGCCCAGACGCTATTTAAGATCAATTAATGGCCATCGTTTGGTTGACGTTGTTTACAAACTTACCAGATATGGTTCAAGATCATTTTCTATAGCCTCGGCTAAACTCTGGAACGCACTGCCGCTGGAAATCCGTTCAAGCGTCAATTTGTTGCAATTCAAGCGCATTCTTAAAACACATCTTTTTAGGAAAGCTTTTTAACCAGATATTTTACTATTGGTTCGTCAGTTAAACAGTTCTTTAGGTAGGTAGGTAGGTAGGTAGTTAGTTCTTCATTACGAGGTTTCATTATTCTTAGTTTTTATACTAATTTTGACAGCTTAGTTATTTTATTAGTTAGTTTATCGTACTCATGTTCTAGATATTTCTACGTGAGATATTTTCAAATCATTACATAGCGCTATTGGATAGCGATAGAAATAGCATTATATAAATGAAGTATTTTTATCATATTAATCTCAGATTCGTCTGTCGCGAAAAATTAAGGACTTTCAATATTTTCCTGTTGCGGACTAGAAGAGCCAAGGTGTTCAATACCAATTTTTAATCATGTTATTATTATTATTATTATTATCAATATTTTTATCATTATTATTATAATTATTAATCAATACCAGTTTCGCCCTAAGAAGTGTAATACCAGTTTCTGAACCTTTACAGCTGTACAAAGTTTCTTTATTGTGCTATTAATTTTCAATAATTCCAAAGCATAATATCTCTGGCTATCTGAGTATACACTCACACGCGATATTCATTTGCATTTTGGCAGGTTTAACTAAAACACTTGGTAAACACGTTTTAACGGCATGCCAACTCATCAGAGGTTCCTTGCCGCTCTTTTCATAATGAACACTGACTTATGTATCCATTTCCAACGAAACAAAACCAATTACCTTGTTGAAGTAGTTAAGAGACCATGAAAAATTACATATTTTATTACAAGACACTACCTTGGTTTTCATCGAAGCCATCCAAACATAAGATATATTTCGAACACCACACCTTTGGTCTTCGTCAGGCACTTAATTGAACATGAGGCTCGAGAAAGAGAATATTCGTTCGTTCGTTCGTTTTCACAGGTGCGTTTTTATGTGCTGCCATTGGTGCATTTCGCTCACATCATTAATAATAATGACTTATACGCTTAAACTACTATTCAATCTGTTATTAATAACGATAATTAATTGGTGCATCAGTCAAGTAGGTGTTGCACTTTGTAGCCCACAAACAAGGATTACATCGTGTCAGCAAAGGAGGGATTACATCACAGTGATATTCTTCGTAAACTTCTGTTATTCGTCTACAAATAAGAAAATATGGAGACAAAACATCATAAGCGAGCACGCACAATATAGTTCAA